AGGGTCAGCCCCACCACATAGGGAATACCGGCCCCAAGGCTGGCACCCACATGCCGGTGCCGTCCCCGGTGCCACCTCTTCAGGAGCCTCGCACGCGAGAATGAATGCACCCTGTTCAGCTCACGCCTGGCGCGCAGCTCTCCTGCTGGCCCTACCTTAGCATGGGCTTTCGTCTCTGCAAACTTAATCTTGAAGTCAAACATCTCGGGAGGAGGCTGCTGCTGTTTCTCAGCAGATGCTTCTTGCTGACTCATGAGTTCTCGGTTCACGTCCTGAGCACAGAAAGAAGCTGCGATGAGACATACAGAAAGCCAGCACAGAGGAGATCTGTAATCCCACAGGCGCTGCAGCACATCCATACCTAACCTCCCGAGGCCCCCTTCCTCGGGGAGGGTGGGGGGAGCACCGGGGCTCGTTGTGCAACACGCACAACGATGGATGAAAGCAAGGAAGAGGAACGCAAGTGCTTTCCAAACGCTCGGCTCTCAGCACGCTGTATTAAAGCCAAGGAATCCACACAAACTCATTACCCATCTCCTTTCACTGCCAGCAAAGCCCGGGACAACCAAGCACAGTGGGAACACCCCCACGCTATTCTGCCTTGTCCAGGACTCGGTTCCCAAGCCCGGAGCAGAAGCAGCACAGCGCAGTAAAAGGCTGAAACAGCCATCTGTTCAGAAGTATTTGCAGCGCTGACTTCAGCAGGGGCTCTGCCAGCGAGCCCCATCTGGACATAGGCAGAAGGACAGGCAGGGCTGTCGGAGGTCACGAGAAGCACGTGCAGCCTGGCACTGCTGGAGGTCCCCAGGAAAGCTCAATTCGGAACCCGCTCTCCAGGCATCAGCCCTCTGTGTTCTGCCATGCCCATCTCCCACGAGAGCAGGAGGCAGTGTGCCGTCCCTGCCCCCAGGGACCACCACCCCTGGCAACGCTCTTGCCTACACATGCCCGGTCTCCTCGTCACCAAGGTGGGCTCCCAGGGGAGCACGGCTCCAGCGGGAACTGCCGCGCGGGGCG